CTCCCCCGCTTTAATTTATTTTCGTTTGGGGTTTCACTTCGACAAACCATTTGCCGTTTGTTTGTTAGTTAATACACGATGGTAAGACGTGTACGTCGCTATGAGTCCCATGTCGAACATGATTTAATGTTTATACAGTCACAGGGCCATATGATATCAAAGGACGGCAGTCGTCGTGCCGCGTCCTGTTCGATATGGGACTCATAGCGACGTATACCACGCGTGTAAAATACATTGTTTATTTACATGAAATTTGAACACGCGCTGCGCGACGACCATCGCGCTTTAAAACGCCATTGAAACAGGCGTTGGACATATTATTCGTGTAAATAAGAAAACAGTTAATTTTACCAAAGACACTCTGACTTAGAAGTACGGTTTTTGGTTTTACAAGCTTTTAGCTCGAGTGTGTTTCCTAAATAATGTGATAATTTTTCATTGGCTTATGTTGTTTGATATGGTGATATTGATTGTAATTGTGTACCTATTATTATTATTATTATTATTATTATTATTATTATTATTATTATTATTATTATTATTATTATTTGAGCTCCTACCGACTAGAACTAACACACTGTTTTTGATATTAGGCATTTCAATCCAAGATGGCGCTTAATAGTCGTGTTTTTATCGAAACATAATGTTATCAGTTTAACCACAATTAGCATTATCGTAAACAATCTGTAAACAAGTCAATGAACCCGAAAAACAAATGCGCATCTCAACTGTCAACATATCACGACAATTACTTTTTAGTAACCTAGTCGTGGTATAGCATTTTCATAAACAACTCGTAAACAAGTCAATGAACCCGGAAACCAAGTTCATATCTCAACTGTCAGCGTAACAAGACAACCTGTAGTTGCCAAGGTAATGTCCAGAAGTCTGACCCAAATATGCACTGTCTGCATATCGTGTGTTGATTGCTTCGCACTGAGCGTGACACTGCAGTAATGACGAGCAATGCAGTGCAATGGTTTATATGGGCAACCATTTGAGATCATGGGGGACTGGAAGATTGGTGACTCATCTGTACATTTCTATTTCTCTTGATTTCGACAACAGGTTTTCCCTGAAACACCTTGCAGAGCAGTTCACTCCGCGCTTTAGGTAAACTTATTTAGTCCAGCCATCCCTTGATGCCAACAAATATGTTGTCACTTAACAGTCGATTAGTTTTGTTGAAAAACAATAATTTTAGTTTTTTTGTGTGTGTATTTCTGACCAAATTATAATATCGACTGCTGGTGGACTGCAGGTGCGTTGGTTCTTTCTTAACGTTGAGTTGTTTTTGTTGTCCGTCTAGTCTGGTGACCTATTGATCGTATGGTTAACATATGACAAATTACTTTATACATAACGGCTCATATTTACGACAGTCATCGCACGTGACGTCTCGGCGTTTTGCAACATTGTGGGTTTCTGATTCAAGTGATAATTAGTCTGATTACTTCACCAAATTCTAACCTTGTTCGGAGTCGGTAATCGAAAAGCATTGTCAAACGTCGTTCATATAAACGAATGGACAAAACAACTTGAAGAATTTAACTGTGTTTCAAAATATTTTCCTATATGACGTACCAAATGACGTACCAAATGACGTACTCGCAAGACGTCTTTTAATGCCTCAAAAATGGTGAATGTAAATACCAGCAATGGTATTGACCAGTGATTAGATCATCGTAATGAACACATACTATTGTAAAACATGTCTTTTTAGCTAGAATTTTATTTTAGCTAATTTAGCTAATCTGTAATTTCGCTAATTCAAGATGTCGCTAATTTAAAATAAAGTATATTCTCTCAATGAGATTATTGGCTCTTTAGTTAAATTAAGATTCAGTTAACTCATGCATTGAGTCAAATTCGCTAAAATGGTATGTTTTACAGTAGTTTCTCGTTCGAAAGATAGGTAGTAGGCACAGCTGAGGGCTTACGTACACTATCAAGCAAAGACAATATTTATGTTGATTGAAATACGGAGTTAGAAAAAAACATGGAAACACAATACTAGTATTGTACACTGGCACACAGTACTAGTGGGGTTATCGTGACCATACGTTTACAAAGGATTTGAATTCCTCCCCTACTGTTTAGCACTGGCACACCATGATGTACACTTACCACTGTGCATCGACTACATCAGGGAAATCCAGATCAGTTGAAGTATGCTTGTCTTCCCACTCACGCCAGTCCTTGTCACGTCCGTAGACGACAGTCACGCAGAGTAGCGCGAACAACACGAGTTTCATCTTTCAAGACGTCAGTAATCGACGGTGCTGGATCGCAAAACTAGATGTGCAACCAGCAAAGCCAAGTAGGCGATCTGAAGGTTATCTACCGTGTAACGGTAGTTAAGTTTTACACAATACTAATATGCAAATTAGCATATATATGATCTATAAGATACGGGGCGGACGTCGATCGACGGTAAAGATAAAATGATAAACACAGGTTCAGATCACAGTTACTCTACTAGTAGAGTCACTGTGTACAGATATAGAAGACATGTTTATCGCACAGTTTTGCTTTATCCACAATAAAGTGTGATGATATTGAAATCCTCGTTACGGCCCCTCAAGACAATGAAATACTGGTTAACCTTGACGTACAGACAAGAATAATGTCAAACAAGAATGATTTCTACGTACATTCTGACATTGACCCTAAACTGTTGTACCAGTGACAACCGACCCCCGTAGTTTTTTTTTTTTGAACCACCCCTCGGCCTAGTACTCCAGCATAACACAACCGTCAAATCTACTCGAATGCTTTATGGAGTATTATTGATTTATACACATATTTATGGAGAGACTGCGATTTATAGTATGATTACACTAGTATAATGTCGATTGTAAAAAGTTTAGAACATAGAAGTGTGCTATATATCTCGAACATCAATGTACGTCAAGTTTTGCAAGACGTTGATATCAATAATTTCTGTGTCGTGTTTTGCATAACAACTTTGCGGAGCGCGAGTTAAAGGATCCGGTCACGTTACAGAGTGTATTTGACGCACGCTACACAGCCCATTTTATGCGTTTGTTCCTTCGACGTACTCAACACGCGCGGGGCCCGGCACGGAGTCCCCAACTAGAGTCAACCACAGTCTGTTCAAAATCATTGTTTTAACTCTTAAAGTTCTTTCACTTCTAATCCCCAAGAGACCCATCGTAAATAATTATAATAATAATGAAGAGTATTTATATTGCGCTTAACCTAAATTAGCTCTAAATACAGTTGATATGTTTTCAAACGTGTGACGGTTGTACACCTATGTTCAGATACTGTAAAACACGTTGAAATAGCTGCATACAATTTTAGCCAAAATGAATTTGACACAACTCACAAATTAACTAAAACATAATTTACCTAAAGTGCAAAAAACCGAATCTTATCGTGAGAATATACTTTATTTCCCAATTAGCGACATCTTATCTGAAATAACGACATTATGAAAGAAACAAAACTAGCTAAAGACATGTTTTTACAGTACTGGGAGCATATTACTGCAAAGACATGTCTTCAAGTTTGATTACTGCTTGTATCCTCGGGGAGGACATCCGGGCATTTTCACCGCATGGCAACCATCACGGTGATGAACAAAGGCCGAAAAGTCTCGGAAAACGGTACTTTTGGGATGGTTGTTGAGACTGAACATGTAACAAGATTATCCCCGCGTGTATAACATATAGCAAATACCATTAGAGAAAACCACCTAATGGGTCATTAATATTTTTTTTTTACATTATTTCATGTAACTGTATTGTAGTAGATTTTAGATATCTAACTTCTTATGTTTATTTTAACACCTTTATTGCATTTCATAAACCAAAATAGATATGTAATTCATTCTATAAGGTTGTAATAAAGAATTATCTTATCTTATCTTATATAAATTCGGTTGTTCAGGATTACTTCAAAGTTGAGTTCCTGTTATTTTCTTGAATATTCACCGGCTCTTTGCTCGGCATTCCGCGTTCCTCAGCAGCGCGCATAGCCCGTGGAAATACGTGGTACAGAGGTGCGCGACTTAGCAACGTGGAACGTCTTGTGACGTAGCTCCGCCCCGAGGTACCCGTGCACTGCATTTTATAGTGGCCGTATTTCATAGCTGTGTTTCTTTAGCGTGGTATAGTGAAAACAAATTAATAGAATGAATTGATTAAACTAGTCGTATTTTTAGACCCCCTAGTAACAGATTGTAAAATGTTAATCTTTGTCTGGGAAAAACATACTGTAGACGTCTCTATTTGGTACACGATACAGCTATAACGAGCGATTTGATTGGAATAAATCTGGTATTGTCAAAGAGGACGCATCTAAATATACGTTGTATGCATAGAATCTGCCAAGGTACAGTGGTGAGGTGAAGGTCGAATAAACGAACTTTGGCTGGCGAAGATGGCGACAAGCTAACAATGCGTGGAATGAATCTTGGCTAGCGACAACGCCATCAACGGGGTTCAACAACTTTTCTAATCAAATTTTGTGTGAGTACATGGATCAATACTGTTGTAATACCTGTACAAATAAAACAATTACTAACGTTTAAACGATGACAGTGGTTTCAATAGACAACTTGCAGTGATCACAGTCCGATCTCAGGGATTTCAAGGATTTTACTGAGAACATCTAATAATATAATCTGAACCCACTTGACTTTCACAGTATCGTTGAAACACTGCCGTAAAACTGGTGTAGTACGTAGGTTCGTTATTGTTCGCAAATGCTCGAAAATGAAGATAGCAAATTTTACAATATGATAAATGAATTCACTATAAAAATTATAATTATATTGGGAATGCCACCCGTGACAACATATACTTAAATTAAAAACGACAGAACACTGACAATTTTTTCCGCCCACACACTTCTCAAATAGCTTGCTTTAAAACGTGACCACTTTCAAAATACATATACAAAATGAATATATACAGAAAAATAAAATAATTTTAACATGTCGACAAACATGTGGTATAGTTAGTTCCTTATAGTTAAAAATGAAAACAGTTAGAAGGTTGATTATACGTCGACCTCATACGACTGCCCTCTATACGAGAGTTTCAATACTGACGTCACGACCAAATCAGAACACTTTATTGCCCCTTCCCCGCCAATCAGCGTTTGAAACTGCGTTCCATGATTTCGCGATAGAAATATTTCGGTAAAATTCTAAATTTAGCTCAACCGGGTTGTTTGTTCGGTTATTAATAACTTCCTCGAGACAATTCAGTACTAAGCTGTCAAAGTTATCGTGAAATTTGTTGGCGAATAGTTCAGGTCGCTTCGAGAGTTTTGGAAGAGCCTTCCACCCAAATACGCATATATCTCGTACGATTGTGCCATTACATGCCTTTTTATTTGACCACAGTTTAGATCTAGTCACTGCAATGGCGGCCACGGAGCTATTAAGGCGGTAGTCCCCACCTGGTGCAATTGACAAACGATTCAGGGTTTGATAATAATGTTCATCTGGACACAGAGTATCATTGAGCCAGGTGAACCAGACTCGTCCAATGTCAGTATGGTGGATAAATTCAACGAACTTTCTAGTCAACGCCACATGCAGTTCTCCTTTGTAAATCGGAGAATTCAGTGGCATTACCGGGTTATGTTTTATCGTGGTGTTTTTCATCGTATTTTTAACCACAACATATCGATATCGCTGTCTGACTATAGTTGGATTCAATTTGCTGAACACATCGTTCTTCCCATCGTATTGTTTGAGTATCTGTACCAATTCTAAATTTGTTTTCAGTGGGAATTCCTGGCCGCTTAAATTAATATAATACCTCCATTGATTATTCCTGGAGAGTAATTCCGACTGGCAATACAGTTCAGCTCGCACGACTTCAATCGAGCACCACGTTACCCTGGCAACTCGACGTGGAACGAATACATTGTCGAAACACTTGGCAATATTCTGTATAGCTTCGATGATATTTTTCGGGGATTTGCGATCGACATGAATGCAGTATATATTATGTGGTCTGTAAATAGTTCGCAACAGTTGTTCCACCTGGTTAACCGATTTGTAAATGTATATCCCATATGCCAACGGGAAATCCCTTTCTTCACCCGTGATTGGTTTATTTAAATATCCTCGTTCGCGGACAAACTCGGTACAGTTGTTGGCAAGTTTTGAAAATGCACTGTCAGGTACAATTCTTGACTTCAAGATTTTGTTTTTGATTGAAATCGTTTTTCCATCAACATGCTTTCCGTTGATAAGATCGCTACATTGTACTGCTTCAACAATTCTTTGGTTTTCATCACCAAATTCTTGGTGAAAGGTGGTCGTATTTTGAATAGGTTCGCTTATAAGCTCCGTTGTAGAATTCGTGTAGACATTTGCTTGAGTCACGCTGTACGTCTTGATTTTCTGTAGTGTGGGATGGTTAAAGTACTTCCATAACAAGATGTTTCCTAGCGCAATAACTGACAAAAGTAATATTACTTTAGGGTTTATACATTTTCCATGTGGAATTCTCAACAGACAATCTTGAAACATGGTAATCTTCCTGTAAGAAAGAAAATTAAAATCAAAACGTAGACAAGATTATTAAAACTCAAAATAGAATAGAGATTAAAGGAGAGCTATGTAATGTTGCAGATGTAATCAATCTATAATCTGATAGGCTGTGATCAGTTATGGCCCAGATAGTTAAGAACCCAACACAATATGTACTAAAAATACAATGGAAAACATTGGCCAAGGTAGTTCAGAACCCAACGCAATGTGTACTGAAAAATACCATAGAAAACATTGGCCAAGGTAGTTCAGTACCCAACACAATGTGTACTGAAAAATACCATAGAAATTATTGGCCCAGGTAGTTCAGTATACAACACAATGTGTACTGAAAAATACCATGGAAAACATTGGCCCAGGTAGTTCAGAACCCAACACAATGTGTACTGAAAAATACTACCTTCCAACTGTTACAGTTGTCTAATAGCAGCAAAACATATTAACATTGAAATGACCTTGACCTGAAATTCGACATTTTGGAAAACAATGACTCTGGCACCCAACAATACTATAGTCCATATATAACGTATGGGAAAAATAAAAAAAAATATTCATAACTTACTCAAAGCAATCTGGCAGGCGGTTTTGGAGAAGAAGTCACAGATATGCAAACAATAAACAAGAAAACCGCCAAAATATTTATTAAAAATAGACACCTGCAACTGGTCTCATGAAATTAGTAAGTCAGATTCAATGTCAAGAACATTCATATCAAATTTCAAAGCAATCTGAGGGAGCAGTTGAAAAAAAAAATTGAACAAAAATGACAAAAATATTCCCTAAAAATAGAGATTTGGCTCGGTCATCTTCGCAAATGTTCATGAATGCAATTACAGACAACCAAAAATACATACATTTCAACAGTTAACTAGATTTAAACTCAGGATCACGACAAGCGCATCGCCACTGTAAACAGACGTGCTCCTTATCACCTAACAGACAGTATCATGAAAAACAACACCTCCAATTGGCGTGTAATTAGCACGGTTCTACAGTAACTGTTTTTTAATTCAAAGTCAAAAAAACAAAAAAATCCGATTTTGCGAGTTTTCGTTTTTTTGTGTTCAAATTTGTTTTCTTTAATAATGTTCGATTCAGATTTAATAATAAAAAAACACATTTAGATTTTAATTGGTATTTGATTTAGATTGAATAAAAAAAAATAGTATAGTTTTTTTGTATTCTATGATATCAAGGTTTGTTTGATATTTTCAATGATTCTAAAAATTCTGCGATGTGTTTGATAAGATACGAGTCTTTGTGTGTTGGTGACGTTCAATGATATTCATCAAACGTTCATACTTGTTGGAACGCCCAATAATAGTGCATTTGAGGCTTTGTACGTAAATTTGTTATAGTGCCTGTGAAATGGTTGCTATTTTCACGCCTAAAATTATCCATTGTTACATAAATATTATTAATTTTTATGTTTCTAAACATGAATTATTTTTTTAAGTGAAAAAAGTGTTTTAAACTCAATCTACGGCAACTTTATGTTTGTGTATTTTAAAACGAGGCTCCTCATTAGCTTCCTATTTGCATACTGAAATTCCCCTTGTGACGTCAGAAGGGGAAGTCGCATGGCAGCTTGCATTGCCGATACGTGTAAATAAGGCAAATTTCTTGTGCAGTTTTCTCGTCTTTGACTAAATTTTCATTTATGTACTTGTTCGTCGAGGAGGAATGGACCATAATGAACACATATTATCAATTATTGTTGCATGGGGTTGAGTTAGATGCGAAATATGTCCGTTCTGGTGTAGCTGGTCACCGTGATCGTCACCGGCGCACGTTTGTACACTGTCGCTGGACAAAATAGGTTACTAGGCACGTCACTACACTGTTATTTATTTCATCGATCGTCTGAGTAAACTTTTAAAATTAA